GGCTCACGTAATGCCAGTACTTTGGGAGGCTGAAGTGGGCAGATCACCTGAGGTCAGGAATCCGAGACCAGGTTGGCCAACACGGTGAATTCCTGTCTACTAAAAATACAAAATTAGCTGGAAGTGGTGGTAGGTGTCTGTGGTCATAGGAGACTGAGGCAGGAGAATTGCTTGAAGTTGGGAGATGGAGGTTGCAGTGAATGGAGATTGCGCCACTGCACACCAGCTTGGGTGATGGAATGAGACTCTGTCTCAAAAACAAAAAACAAACAAAAATTTGCATGTCAAGTCTCACAAAAAGCTTTTAAACAATCATTTTTTTTGAGATATAGTTAATGTATATGATTATGTGAGTTTTGAGAAAAGTATATATCTATGTAACAACTATTGCAATCTACATATAGATTTGTTCCATCACCCTAAGTGTTTCTATGTGACTCTTCCAGCCAGTTCACAAGTACTCCCAGCCCTGGTCAACCACTGATCTACTTTCTGTTTTTATAGATTAGGTTTGCCTTTAGTAAGTTTCATATAAATGGAATCATAAGTGTGTACTCATTTGTGGATGGCTTCTATTGATCAACATGTTTTTGAGACTCATCTGTGTTACATGTATCAACAGTTTATTCTTTTTTTCCTTGCTAAGTAGAATTCCATTGTATAGCCATACCACAATTTGTTTAGCCACTCATTTGTTGGTGGACATTTGGATTGTTTCATGTTTGGGGCTATTATTGAAGTTGCTATAAACATTCATGTAAAAATCTTTATGTAGACATATGTTATCATTTTGCTTAGGAGTAGAACTTTTAGGCCATATAGTAAAGTACACAATCATGTGTTGCTTAACACATGATTAAGATATGTTGTGAAAAATGCAGCCTTAGGTGAACATCGGAGAGCGTACTTATGCAGATAGAGGTGGTATAGCCTACTAAACCACTAGGCTTTGTGGTACAGACTGTTGCTGTGAGCCTACACATCTGTAGCCTCAGAAGAGCATGTTACTGTACTGAGTACTAGAGGCAACTAACACAATGGTAAGTATGCATCTAAATGTATCTAAACATAAAGAAGGTACAGTAAAAATATGGCATAAAAGATAAAAAATGGTACACTTGTATAGCACACTTACCATGAACCGAGCATGCAGGACTGCTCGAGGTGTATCAGTCAGTGAGGGGTGAGTGAATGGGAAGGCCTAGGACATTACTGTACACTACCATAGACTGAATAAACACTGTACTCTTGAATTACACTAAATTTATAAAAATATTTTCTTGCTTCAGTAAGAAATTAACCTTAACTTACTGTAACTTCTTTTTTTTTATTTTTTTTGAGATGGAGTTTCACTCTTGTTACCCAGACTGGAGTGCAATGGCACAATCTTGGCTCACCGCAACCTCCGCCTCCTGGGTTCAAGCAATTCTCCTGCCTCAGCCTCTCGAGTAGCTGGGACTACAGGTGTGTGCCACCATACCCAGCTAATTTTTGTATTTTTAGTAGAGACGGGGTTTCACCATTTGACCAGGATGGTCTCGATCTCTTGACCTCATGATCCACCCGCCTCGGCCTCCCAAAGTGCTGGGATTATAGGTGTGAGCCACCGCGCCCAGCCTACTGTAATTTTATCTTTGTAGACTTTTACATTTTTTGAACTTTTGGACTCCTAGTAACACTTAGCTTAAAGCACAGACACGTTGTATAGCTGAACACAAATACTTTTTTTCTTTACATTGTTATTCTATAAATTTTTTTCTGTTTAAAATTTTAAATTAAAAATTTTTTTGTTGAAAATGAAAACTAAAAACTTTTTGTTAAACTAAGACAAATATTGTCTTCTACCTTCCATATGTTGTCTCACTCTAAGGTCTTCAGGGATGATAACATGTATGGAGTTGTCAACTTCATATATGTTACAGAATTTCTTCTTCTGGAATATCTGCAATATCTCCTGAGGACATACTTGGGGCTATTTTACAGTTAACTTATTTTTTAAATAAGTGGAAGGAATGTACTATAAAATAGCAAAGAATATAGTGTAGTAAACACTTAAATGAGTAACATAATCATTTATCATCATGATCAAGTATTAGGTACTGTATATAATTGTATGTGCTATACTTCTATGTGATTGGCAGTACAGTAGGTTTGTTTGCACCATTGTAGCAAGTTTACACTATCGGCTCTATAAATGTAATTCGTTGCACTACGACCTTATAATGGCTATGACATCAATCAGTAACAGGAATTTTTCAGCCCAATTATAACCTTCTGGGACCACCATAGTATATGCAGTCTGTCATTGACCAAAATGGTATGTGGTGCATGACTACATTTAACTTTAAAAGAAGTTTCCATACCATTTTCCAAAGCAGTTGTATCATTATACTTTCCCAGTAGCAGTACCAGTACTTGGTAATGCCAGTGATCTTACTTTTAACCTTTCCAGTGGGTGTGTAAAAGTATCTTATTAATTTGCATTTCCCTGATTACTAGTGACGTTGAGTGTATTTTCATGTGCCTGTTGGCCATTTGTACATCTTCTTTGGTGAAGTATCCATTCACATCTTTTGCTCATTTTAATATTCATTTTTTCCAGCTTTATTGAGGCATACTTGAAAAATAAATTAGATATATTTAAGATATGCATGGTAAAGTTTTGATAAATATATATGCTGTGAAATTGCCACAATCTAGCTGATTTTCACATATGTATCACCTCATGTAGTCTTTTTTCCTTAGTGTGGTAAGAACGTTTATGATTTATTCTCTTAGCAAATTTCAAGTATATAATACATTATTCACTATAGTCATCATGCTATGTACATACTATGCTATATTTATAAGTGCTACATTTATAAGTGAAAGTTTTACCCATTCCTCAACATCTCGTTTTCTCTACCTCCTGATCCCCATGATCACTTTTCTAGTCTATTTCTGTGAGTTCAACTTTCTAAGATTCCATTAATAAGTAAAATCATATAGCATTTATATTTCTGGGTCTGGCTTTTCACTTAGCATAATGTCCTTCAAGTTCATCTATGTTTTCACCAATGACAGGATTTCCTTCTTTTTTTAAGTCTAAATGATATTCCATTGTGTGTGCAACACCCTTTTATTCATTCAGCCATTGATGGATAGTTAGGTATCATTGTGTTAGCTACTGTGAATAATGCTGAAGTGAAAATGAGAGTGCAATTATCTTTTCAAGATAGTGGTTTTCTTTCTTTTGGAAATAGAATAAATCCCCAGAAGTGGGAATATTGAATTATATGTATGGTAGTTCTATCTTTAAGTTTTTCAGGAATCTCCAGATTATTTTCTGTAATGGCTGTACCAACTTACACCAATCCCCACCAACAAGGTGTAAGTGTTCCCTTTTCTCCATATCCTCAACAACAGTTTTGTCTCTTGACATTTTGGTAATAGTTATCCTAACAGGTGTGAGGTAATATCTTATTGTGGTTTTGATTTGCATTTCTCTGATGATTGCTGATGCTGATACCTTTTCATATACCTATTGGCTATTTGTATGTCCTCTTTGGGAAAATGTCTGTTCACGTCCTTTGGCCATATTTTTAATTGGGTAATTTTTTTATTAAGTTGAATTCCTCATATATTTTGGATATTAACTCCTTCTCGGATGTATGGTTTTCACATATTTCTCCCGTCCCATATGTTCCCTTTTCATTTGGCTGATTGCTTTCTTTGTCGTAAAGAACTTTGCAGTTCGATATAGTCCCTCTTGTTTGCTTTTATTCTATGTGATTTTGGTGTCATATTAAAAAAAAACTTATTGCCAATACCAGTGCCATGGAATTTTGCTCATTATAAAATGAAACAGTTTATCTTACTGAGTTTTAAGAATGCTTTATATGTTCTGTATTATTTGTGAAAAATAGGATGTTGAGAAATAACTATTTGGGTTGATTTCTAGGCTGACCACCTGCATGTAAGAAGTGAAATGAAGCAGAGATGAGAAAAACCTTAGTATTTAATTAACATTTATTTATTGTCAATTTTCATGCAATCCAGTTGTTTGAATCCAAGACTTGAAACAAATATGTTACAGTCAAATTAAGGAACTACATAGTGGTGGCAGATACCCTTCCTTTTCGTCTGGGCATGGATGGTATTTTTTTAGGTGGAAATGTTATTGAACTATAGTAGCAGGTGGGAATCATTGTATTTCCATGGAATAACTCCAATGTGTTTTCCAATATTGAGCAGACTCTTAGAAATGGGGAGCAAGGTCTTTCTTGCTGAAACCAAGTTAAAGCCCACATTTGAATGTTTTTAATCCTGAACTGATAAATACCTGTTCTTTAAGAAATAATGCTCTTGCTAACTGGCCAGGGAAAAGCCCCTAACACTACTTTTTATGCCACTAGTTACCTTACTGATTAAAGGTATATCCAAGGAAAGGGACTTGATGGTTTTCATAAGGAAAGACACTATCAGTGATGCATCTTTGCTTTTAGAGCCTTCACCTTCTGCCACAATACCAAAAATTGGGACACACCAAACATGGGACACACTGAAAATTAGGGTACACGAATTGCTGTAAAACAAAGTGTTGTATCCAGGACTGGTAATGCATTCCTAATATTTTGCTTTTTAGAAATGAATATTTTGCTTTTTAGAAATGTAAGCTTAGCTTTGCCACCATCTAATATTGAATGATTAACCTTAAAAAAGACAGCTCCAAATAAACCCAAAACCGTTTTAAAGCTTTCCATTATCCCTCAAAGTTTAACCCTCATACTAACCAGTTACTCCACTCAGTATTTTCTAACAAAGTAGCCCAAATGCCTAAAAGTCTTGGGAAGGAACCCCATAACAAGACATGTGCTATAGTTATAGGCTTAAAAGAAAAAAGATTCACTTTTAGAAAGAATTTTATGATGTTTCTGGTTTTTCATGATGAATTCATAGGTGAATTTTTTATTTCTTGAATTGCAACTTGAGTAAATTGCATTTATATTTATTATTCATCCCTAAGAGTAGCACCTCTTCTCTTGGACATATTCATAAAGTGAAGTGCCAGGATGAAAACAGAAAATGTGAGCCTGAACTTTCCCTTTCACTGTTATTTCCTCCTTTTCAATAGGAACACCCACCTTGATTAGAACCCTCATTGCAAATTGACAATTTATTCATAGTACTTACTGCATCTAGATTGTCAATTGGAGGGTATAACTCGTCTAAAGCCACCAGCAGAGGGGCTTCCAATTTCTCTATAACTACTTCTTGATGCCCCTCCAATACAATTCAAATGGATACAGCAAGATTCAGGCTAAATTCGACTTATAACACTTTTAATAGACTAGGTGCTTAAATAAAACTAAACAGATTCAGATGCATTTTTCAGAGGAAGACACCTGACAGGAGTGAGAAAAGTTCTGTTAATTGCCATAACACAAACCACAACCAGAGCAGCATGACACAGATATAGATGACTAAAATTCCAGGGACCCATATTATCAAGAACTAGAAAAATGACAGGAAAAAAAGCACAATAAGGATGAGCAGGAGACACAATGATATCTTTCAAAATGAAACAAATGGCCACAAACACATGCAGGATGCCTGTAAGTAGAACACTACCCTAATGAAGATTCCTATCAGCTCTAGGTTTATAAGTCTTTTTATAGAACAATGTTCCTGATAGCTAGAGGAGTAAATAGGGCTGAAAATATGACAATAAACAGAAGGTTGATCTGAACCAGACTCATGTTGACTAAAGCAATGAGACAGAGTGGAGCCAGAATCATGTTTGCTACAACTAAAGAATAGATCTCAGTATGAATCAGGTGTGCCACAGCTGGAAGACGGACCTAAGTGAGACCCATGTAGGCCATAGCTAGAAGACTGCCATGACCCAGACCCATGTCAGTCACACCTAGGAGAGTGGACAGAGCCAGATCAGTGTTGTCCAAGACCCGAAGGCTACTGGAATCCAAACGGATGCTGTCCACAACTGGAAGACTGATCAGGCCTAGAGCCATATTGGCTGCAGCTTGATGACTGCCCTAACATAGATCCATGTCGTCCCTGGCTAAAGCAGTGACTTGAGCCAGAACGAAGCTGACTAGAACCAGAGGACTTTTCTGAGCAAGATTCAGGTTGACGAAAGCAAGAAGACTGGCTAGAGCCAGATGCATAGGGGCAGTGGCTGGAAGAACACCCTGAGAAAGTCATATGTTGGCCATAGATGAAAGACTTTCCTGACCCAGAACCATGTCAACCACGTCTAGAAAACTTGCTGGATACAGAGGCATGTCGGCCATAGGCAGAAGACTCACTTGAGCCGGAGCCATGGTTGCCATAGCTGGAAGACTGACCTGAGCTAGCTCCATGTTGTTCACAGCTTGATGACTGTCCTGATGTAGAACCATGTTGTCCACGGCTAGAGGAATGACCCGAGCTAGATCCGCATTGAGCGTAGCCAGAGGACTGTCCTGAACGAGACTCATGTTGACCTACGCCAGAAGAGTGACCTGAGCCAGACTCATATGGGCCACGGCTGGAAGACTGCCCTGAGCCAGACCCATGTGGGCCGTAGCTGGAAGACTGCCCAGAACCAGATCCATGTCGGCCACGGCCAGGGCTAGGGGACTGGCCAGATCCAGACACATGTCGGCCGTGGCCTGAAGACTGACGGGAGCCAGACCCATGCTGACCATAGCCGGAAGACTGACCTGAGCTAGAACCATGTTGTCCGTAGCCAGAGGAGTGACCTGAGCCAGATCCCTGCTCACCGTAACCAGAGGACTGTCCTGAGCCAGACCCATATTGGCCGTAGCTGGAAGACCCTCCTGACCCGGACCCATGTTGGCCGCGGCTAGGAGACTGGCCAGATCCAGAGCCGTGTCGGCCATGGCCCAAAGACTGAGGGGAGCCAGACCGATGCTGACCATAGCCGGAAGACTGACCTGAGCTAGATCCCTCCTGGTCGGAGCTGGAGGACTGTCCTGACGTGGAACCATGTTGTCCATGGCTCGAGCCGTACCCTGAGCCACTTCCGTGCTGACTATAACCAGAGGACTGTCCTGAGCCAGACCCATGTTGGCCGTAGCTGGAAGACTGTCCCGACCCGGACCCATGTCGGCCGCGGCTAGGAGACTGGCCAGCTGCAGAGCCATGTCGTCCATACCCTGAAGACTGACATGAGGCAGACCCATGCTGACCATAGCCGGAAGACTGACCTAAGCTAGATCCGTGTTGTCCATAGCCAGAGGAGTGACCTGAGCCAGATCCCTGCTCACCGTAACCAGAGGACGCTCCTGAGCCAGACCCATATTGGCCGTAGCTGGAAGACTGTCCTGACCTGGACCCATGTCCGCCCCGGCTAGGAGACTGGCCAGATCCAGAGCCGCGTCGGCCATGGCCCGAAGACTGACGGGAGCCAGACCCATGCTGACCATGGCCGGAAGACTGACCTGAGCTAGATCCGTGTTGTTCACCCCTCGGTGACAGTCCTGAGCTAGAACCATGTTGTCCGTAGGCAGAGCAGTGACCTGAGGCAGATCCCTGCTGATTGGAACCAGAGGACTCTCCTGAGCTAGACTCACGTTGACCGAAGCCAGAAGAGTGGCCTGAGCCAGACTCATATGTGCCTCGGCTGGAAGAAGAACCTGAGCCAGAGCCGTGTGGGCCATGGCTGGAAGAGTGCCCCGAACCAGATCCAGATTCGTGTCGGCCGCGGCCCGAAGACTGATGTGAGCCAGAGCCATGCTGACCGTAGCTGGAAGACTGCGCCGAGCTAGATCCCTCCTGACCAAAGCTGGAGGACTGTCCTGACGTGGAACCATGTTGTCCATGACTGGAGCCGGACCCTGAGCCGCCTCCGTGCTGACTATAACCAGAGGACTCTCCTGAGCCAGATCCATGTTGGCCGTAGCTGGAAGACTGACGGGAGCCAGACCGATGCTGACCATAGCCGGAAGACTGACCTGAGCTAGATCCCTCCTGGTCGGAGCTGGAGGACTGTCCTGACGTGGAACCATGTTGTCCACGGCTAGAGCCATACCCTGAGCCACTTCCATGCTGACTATAACCAGAGGACTGCCCTGAGCCAGACCCATGTTGGCCGTAGCTGGAAGACTGTCCCGACCCGGACCCATGTCGGCCACGGCTAGGAGACTGGCCAGATCCAGAGCCGTGTCGTCCATGCCCTGAAGACTGACGGGAGGCAGACCCATGCTGACCATAGCCAGAGGACTGACCTGAGCTAGATCCGTGTTGTTCGCCCCTAGGTGACAGTCCTGAGCTAGAACCATGTTGTCCGTAGCCAGAGGAGTGACCTGAGGCAGATCCCTGCTGACTGGAACCAGAGGACTGCCCTGAGCTAGACTCATGTTGACCGAAGCCAGAAGAGTGGCCTGAGCCAGACTCATATGGGCCTCGGCTGGAAGAAGAACCTGAGCCAGAGCCGTGTGGGCCATGGCTGGAAGAGTGCCCCGAACGAGACCCAGACCCGTGTTGGCCGCGGCCCGAAGACTGATGTGAGCCAGAGCCATGCTGACCGTAGCTGGAAGACTGCCCCGAGCTAGATCCCTCCTGGCCAAAGCTGGAGGACTGTCCTGACGTGGAACCATGTTGTCCATGGCTAGAGCCGTACCCTGAGCCACTTCCATGCTGACTATAACCAGAGGACTGTCCTGACCCGGACCCATGTCGGCCACGGCTAGGAGACTGGCCAGATCCAGAGCCGTGTCGGCCATAGCCAGAAGACTGACTTGAGCCGGAGCCATGGTTGCCATAGCTGGAGGACTGACCTGAGCTAGCTCCATGTTGTTCACAGCTTGATGACTGTCCTGATGTAGAACCATGCTGTCCACGGCTAGAGGAATGACCCGAGCTAGATCCGCGTTGAGCGTAGCCAGAGGACTGTCCTGAACGAGACTCATGTTGACCTATGCCAGAAGAGTGACCTGAGCCAGACTCATATGGGCCACAACTGGAAGACTGCCCTGAGCCAGACCCATATGGGCCGTAGCTGGAAGACTGCCCAGAACCAGATCCATGTCGGCCGCGGCCAGGGCTAGGGGACTGGCCAGATCCAGACGCATGTCGGCCGTGGCCTGAAGACTGATGGGAGCCAGACCCATGCTGACCATAGCCGGAAGACTGACCTGAGCTAGAACCATGTTGTCCGTAGCCAGAGGAGTGACCTGAGCCAGATCCCTGCTCACCGTAACCAGAGGACTGTCCTGAGCCAGACCCATATTGGCCATAGCTGGAAGACCCTCCTGACCCGGACCCATGTTGGCCGCGGCTAGGAGACTGGCCAGATCCAGAGCCGTGTCGGCCATGGCCCGAAGACTGAGGGGAGCCAGACCGATGCTGACCATAGCCGGAAGACTGACCTGAGCTAGATCCCTCCTGGCCGGAGCTGGAGGACTGTCCTGACGTGGAACCATGTTGTCCATGGCTAGAGCCGTACCCTGAGCCACTTCCGTGCTGACTATAACCAGAGGACTGTCCTGAGCCAGACCCATGTTGGCCGTAGCTGGAAGACTGTCCCGACCCGGACCCATGTCGGCCGCGGCTAGGAGACTGGCCAGCTCCAGAGCCATGTCGTCCATGCCCTGAAGACTGACGGGAGGCAGACCCATGCTGACCATAGCCGGAAGACTGACCTAAGCTAGATCTGTGTTGTCCATAGCCAGAGGAGTGACCTGAGCCAGATCCCTGCTCACCGTAACCAGAGGACTCTCCAGAGCCAGACCCATATTGGCCGTAGCTGGAAGACTGTCCCGACCTGGACCCGTGTCCGCCCCGGCTAGGAGACTGGCCAGATCCAGAGCCGCGTCGGCCATGGCGCGAAGACTGACGGGAGCCAGACCCATGCTGACCATGGCCGGAAGACTGACCTGAGCTAGATCCGTGTTGTTCACCCCTCGGTGACAGTCCTGAGCTAGAACCATGTTGTCCGTAGGCAGAGCAGTGACCTGAGGCAGATCCCTGCTGACTGGAACCAGAGGACTGTCCTGAGCTAGACTCATGTTGACCGAAGCCAGAAGAGTGGCCTGAGCCAGACTCATATGTGCCTCGGCTGGAAGAAGAACCTGAGCCAGAGCCGTGTGGGCCATGGCTGGAAGAGTGCCCCGAACCAGATCCAGATTCGTGTCGGCCGCGGCCCGAAGACTGATGTGAGCCAGAGCCATGCTGACCGTAGCTGGAAGACTGCCCCGAGCTAGATCCCTCCTGACCAAAGCTGGAGGACTGTCCTGACGTGGAACCATGTTGTCCATGACTGGAGCCGGACCCTGAGCCGCCTCTGTGCTGACTATAACCAGAGGACTCTCCTGAGCCAGATCCATGTTGGCCGTAGCTGGAAGACTGACGGGAGCCAGACCGATGCTGACCATAGCCGGAAGACTGACCTGAGCTAGATCCCTCCTGGCCGAAGCTGGAGGACTGTCCTGACGTGGAACCATGTTGTCCACGGCTAGAGCCATACCCTGAGCCACTTCCATGCTGACTATAACCAGAGGACTGCCCTGAGCCAGACCCATGTTGGCCGTAGCTGGAAGACTGTCCCGACCCGGACCCATGTCGGCCACGGCTAGGAGACTGGCCAGATCCAGAGCCGTGTCGTCCATGCCCTGAAGACTGACTGGAGGCAGACCCATGCTGACCATGGCCGGAAGACTGACCTGAGCTAGATCCGTGTTGTCCATAGCCAGAGGAGTGACCTGAGCCAGATCCCTGCTCACCGTAACCAGAGGACTCTCCTGAGCCAGACCCATATTGGCCGTAGCTGGAAGACTGTCCCGACCCGGACCCATGTCGGCCACGGCTAGGAGACTGGCCAGATCCAGAGCCGTGTCGTCCATGCCCTGAAGACTGACGGGAGGCAGACCCATGCTGACCATAGCCGGAAGACTGACCTGAGCTAGATCCGTGTTCTTCGCCCCTAGGTGACTGTCCTGAGCTAGAACCATGTTGTCCGTAGCCAGAGGAGTGACCTGAGGCAGATCCCTGCTGACTGGAACCAGAGGACTGTCCTGAGCTAGACTCATGTTGACCGAAGCCAGAAGAGTGGCCTGAGCCAGACTCATATGGGCCTCGGCTGGAAGAAGAACCTGAGCCAGAGCCGTGTGGGCCATGGCTGGAAGAGTGCCCCGAACGAGACCCAGACCCATGTTGGCCGCGGCCCGAAGACTGATGTGAGCCAGAGCCATGCTGACCGTAGCTGGAAGACTGCCCCGAGCTAGATCCCTCCTGGCCAAAGCTGGAGGACTGTCCTGACGTGGAACCATGTTGTCCATGGCTAGAGCCGTACCCTGAGCCACTTCCATGCTGACTATAACCAGAGGACTGTCCTGACCCGGACCCATGTCGGCCACGGCTAGGAGACTGGCCAGATCCAGAGCCGTGTCGGCCATAGCCAGAAGACTGACTTGAGCCGGAGCCATGGTTGCCATAGCTGGAGGACTGACCTGAGCTAGCTCCATGTTCACAGCTTGATGACTGTCCTGATGTAGAACCATGCTGTCCACGGCTAGAGGAATGACCCGAGCTAGATCCGCGTTGAGCGTAGCCAGAGGACTGTCCTGAACGAGACTCATGTTGACCTACGCCAGAAGAGTGACCTGAGCCAGACTCATATGGGCCACGGCTGGAAGACTGCCCTGAGCCAGACCCATGTGGGCCGTAGCTGGAAGACTGCCCAGAACCAGATCCATGTCGGCCACGGCCAGGGCTAGGGGACTGGCCAGATCCAGACGCATGTCGGCCGTGGCCTGAAGACTGACGGGAGCCAGACCCATGCTGACCATAGCCGGAAGACTGACCTGAGCTAGAACCATGTTGTCCGTAGCCAGAGGAGTGACCTGAGCCAGATCCCTGCTCACCGTAACCAGAGGACTGTCCTGAGCCAGACCCATATTGGCCGTAGCTGGAAGACCCTCCTGACCCGGACCCATGTTGGCCATGGCTAGGAGACTGGCCAGATCCAGAGCCGTGTCGGCCATGGCCCGAAGACTGACGGGAGCCAGACCGATGCTGACCATAGCCGGAAGACTGACCTGAGCTAGATCCCTCCTGGCCGGAGCTGGAGGACTGTCCTGACGTGGAACCATGTTGTCCATGGCTCGAGCCGTACCCTGAGCCACTTCCGTGCTGACTATAACCAGAGGACTGTCCTGAGCCAGACCCATGTTGGCCGTAGCTGGAAGACTGTCCCGACCCGGACCCATGTCGGCCGCGGCTAGGAGACTGGCCAGCTCCAGAGCCATGTCGTCCATGCCCTGAAGACTGACAGGAGGCAGACCCATGCTGACCATAGCCGGAAGACTGACCTGAGCTAGATCCGTGTTGTTTATAGCCAGAGGAGTGACCTGAGCCAGATCCCTGCTCACCGTAACCAGAGGACTCTCCTGAGCCAGACCCATATTGACCGTAGCTGGAAGACTGTCCCGACCTGGACCTGTGTCCGCCCCGGCTAGGAGACTGGCCAGATCCAGAGCCGCGTCGGCCATGGCCCGAAGACTGACGGGAGCCAGACCCATGCTGACCATGGCCGGAAGACTGACCTGAGCTAGATCCGTGTTGTTCACCCCTCGGTGACAGTCCTGAGCTAGAACCATGTTGTCCGTAGGCAGAGCAGTGACCTGAGGCAGATCCCTGCTGACTGGAACCAGAGGACTGTCCTGAGCTAGACTCACGTTGACCGAAGCCAGAAGAGTGGCCTGAGCCAGACTCATATGGGCCTCGGCTGGAAGAAGAACCTGAGCCAGAGCCGTGTGGGCCATGGCTGGAAGAGTGCCCCGAACCAGATCCAGATTCGTGTCGGCCACGGCCTGAAGACTGATGTGAGCCAGAGCCATGCTGACCGTAGCTGGAAGACTGCCCCGAGCTAGATCCCTCCTGGCCAAAGCTGGAGGACTGTCCTGACGTGGAACCATGTTGTCCATGACTAGAGCCGGACCCTGAGCCGCCTCCATGCTGAGTATAACCAGAGGACTCTCCTGAGCCAGACCCATGTTGGCCGTAGCTGGAAGACTGACGGGAGCCAGACCGATGCTGACCATAGCCGGAAGACTGACCTGAGCTAGATCCCTCCTGGCCGAAGCTGGAGGACTGTCCTGACGTGGAACCATGTTGTCCACGGCTAGAGCCGTACCCTGAGCCACTTCCATGCTGACTATAACCAGAGGACTGCCCTGAGCCAGACCCATGTTGGCCGTAGCTGGAAGACTGTCCCGACCTGGACCCGTGTCCGCCCCGGCTAGGAGACTGGCCAGATCCAGAGCCGCGTCGGCCATGGCCCGAAGACTGACGGGAGCCAGACCCATGCTGACCATGGCCGGAAGACTGACCTGAGCTAGATCCGTGTTGTTCACCCCTCGGTGACAGTCCTGAGCTAGAACCATGTTGTCCGTAGCCAGAGGAGTGACCTGAGGCAGATCCCTGCTGACTGGAACCAGAGGACTGTCCTGAACTAGACTCATGTTGACCGAAGCCAGAAGAGTGGCCTGAGCCAGACTCATATGGGCCTCGGCTGGAAGAAGAACCTGAGCCAGAGCCGTGTGGGCCATGGCTGGAAGAGTGCCCCGAACCAGATCCAGATTCGTGTCGGCCGCGGCCCGAAGACTGATGTGAGCCAGAGCCATGCTGACCGTAGCTGGAAGACTGCCCCGAGCTAGATCCCTCCTGGCCAAAGCTGGAGGACTGTCCTGACGTGGAACCATGTTGTCCATGACTAGAGCCGGACCCTGAGCCGCCTCTGTGCTGACTATAACCAGAGGACTCTCCTGAGCCAGACCCATGTTGGCCGTAGCTGGAAGACTGACGGGAGCCAGACCGATGCTGACCATAGCCGGAAGACTGACCTGAGCTAGATCCCTCCTGGCCGTAGCTGGAAGACTGTCCCAACCCGGACCCATGTCGGCCACGGCTAGGAGACTGGCCAGATCCAGAGCCGTGTCGTCCATGCCCTGAAGACTGACGGGAGGCAGACCCATGCTGACCATAGCCGGAAGACTGACCTGAGCTAGATCCGTGTTGTTCGCCCCTAGGTGACAGTCCTGAGCTAGAACCATGTTGTCCGTAGCCAGAGGAGTGACCTGAGGCAGATCCCTGCTGACTGGAACCAGAGGACTGCCCTGAGCTAGACTCATGTTGACCGAAGCCAGAAGAGTGGCCTGAGCCAGACTCATATGGGCCTCGGCTGGAAGAAGAACCTGAGCCAGAGCCGTGTGGGCCATGGCTGGGAGAGTGCCCCGAACGAGACCCAGACCCGTGTTGGCCGTGGCCCGAAGACTGATGTGAGCCAGAGCCATGCTGACCGTAGCTGGAAGACTGCCCGGAGGTAGATCCCTCCTGGCCAAAGCTGGAGGACTTTCCTGACGTGGAACCATGTTGTCCATGGCTAGAGCCGTACCCTGAGCCACTTCCATGCTGACTATAACCAGAGGACTGTCCTGACCCGGACCCATGTCGGCCACGGCTAGGAGACTGGCCAGATCCAGAGCTGTGTCGGCCATAGCCAGAAGACTGACTTGAGCCGGAGCCATGGTTGCCATAGCTGGAGGACTGACCTGAGCTAGCTCCATGTTGTTCACAGCTTGATGACTGTCCTGATGTAGAACCATGCTGTCCACGGCTAGAGGAATGACCCGAGCTAGATCCGCGTTGAGCGTAGCCAGAGGACTGTCCTGAACGAGACTCATGTTGACCTACGCCAGAAGAGTGACCTGAGCCAGACTCATATGGGCCACGGCTGGAAGACTGCCCTGAGCCAGACCCATGTGGGCCGTAGCTGGAAGACTGCCCAGAACCAGATCCATGTCGGCCGCGGCCAGGGCTAGGGGACTGGCCAGATCCAGACGCATGTCGGCCATGGCCTGAAGACTGACGGGAGCCAGACCCATGCTGACCATAGCCGGAAGACTGACCTGAGCTAGAACCATGTTGTCCGTAGCCAGAGGAGTGACCTGAGCCAGATCCCTGCTCACCGTAACCAGAGGACTGTCCTGAGCCAGACCCATATTGGCCGTAGCTGGAAGACCCTCCTGACCCGGACCCATGTTGGCCGCGGCTAGGAGACTGGCCAGATCCAGAGCCGTGTCGGCCATGGCCCGAAGACTGAGGGGAGCCAGACCGATGCTGACCATAGCCGGAAGACTGACCTGAGCTAGATCCCTCCTGGCCGGAGCTGGAGGACTGTCCTGACGTGGAACCATGTTGTCCATGGCTAGAGCCGTACCCTGAGCCACTTCCGTGCTGACTATAACCAGAGGACTGTCCTGAGCCAGACCCATGTTGGCCGTAGCTGGAAGACTGTCCCGACCCGGACCCATGTCGGCCGCGGCTAGGAGACTGGCCAGCTCCAGAGCCATGTCGTCCATGCCCTGAAGACTGACGGGAGGCAGACCCATGCTGACCATGACCGGAAGACTGACCTGAGCTAGATCCGTGTTGTCCATAGCCAGAGGAGTGACCTGAGCCAGATCCCTGCTCACCGTAACCAGAGGACTCTCCTGAGCCAGACCCATATTGGCCGTAGCTGGAAGACTGTCCCGACCTGGACCCATGTCCGCCCCGGCTAGGAGACTGGCCAGATCCAGAGCCGCGTCGGCCATGGCCCGAAGACTGACGGGAGCCAGACCCATGCTGACCATGGCCGGAAGACTGACCTGAGCTAGATCCATGTTGTTCACCCCTCGGTGACAGTCCTGAGCTAGAACCATGTTGTCCGTAGGCTGAGCAGTGCCCTGAGGCAGATCCCTGCTGACTGGAACCAGAGGACTGTCCTGAGCTAGACTCACGTTGACCGAAGCCAGAAGAGTGGCCTGAGCCAGACTCATATCGGCCTCGGCTGGAAGAAGAACCTGAGCCAGAGCCGTGTGGGCCATGGCTGGAAGAGTGCCCCGAACCAGATCCAGATTCGTGTCGGCCGCGGCCCGAAGACTGATGTGAGCCAGAGCCATGCTGACTGTAGCTGGAAGACTGCCCTGAGGTAGATCTTTCCTGGTTGAAGGTGGAGGACTGTCCTGATATGGAATTATGTTGTCCATGGGTAGAGCCATACCATGAGCCCCTTTTGTTTTGGCTATTACCAGAGGACTGTCCTGAAGCAGACCTATGTTGCTTGTAGCTGGAAGACTGTCCTGTCCTGGACCCATGTCGGCCACGGCCAGGAGACTGGCTCGTTCTAGATGTATGTTGGCCATAGCCAGAAGACTGGCCTGAGCCTGAAGCATGGTTGCCAGCGCTCGAGGAGTGGCTTGAGCTAGCTTCATGTTGGCCACAACTTGATGACTTTCCTGATGTAGAACCATGCTGTCCATGGCTAGTGGAATGATTCGAGCTAGATTTCCGTTCATTGTTGCCAGAGGACCTTCCTAAATGAGCCTCATGTTGACGTAAGTAAGGAGAGTGACCTGAGGCAGACTTATGTGGGCCACGGCTAGAAGGTTGCCCTAAGCCCAACTCACGACTTTTGTAACTTGAAGCAGTTGGATTATTTGAATTTGACCGATCTTCTTGTTCTGCAGAGGTTTTTGAATTGAATTCATGGTGCTGCTTACTAGGAGAGTGATTTGATTTCTTCTTATGTTCTTTCTTTGTTAAGGATTCATTTGAGTCAGACCAGTTTTGTTCAGAACAGGAAGACTGATCATCTGAGTGTTGTGGATGCTCTTGTTGTCCATAAGTGTCAGACCCAGTTGCTAAGTTTGATGGTTTTCTGCAATTACTTTTATGAACATAGCCACTTTCTTCACTTTCAGACCTTTCTTTCTCATGTGACCCATTTTTGCTTTTCTCACCACTCTTGAAGTCATTTAAAGTTGAATGTATGTTTTCTTCAGATCTTTTCCTGTGCCCAGAACTAGACAAATTTCTTTGGTAATGCAGGCTGCTGGATATGAATTTAGGCCTATGTTTCTTGCTTCCTCTGGAGTTTCTGGAATAGGAATTGTTCTCTCCTGCACTCAAACTTGAATGACTGGAAGAGGATTCTTGCCCTTCGTCCTCCTCTTCTTCTGTTTCATTTTGTTCCTCTTGGTGCTGGTGACTGTCGTCTCTCAGATTTGACCCTGAAGCTTGGTAGTAATCTTTGCCAATGATTTTATTATGAGCCTGAACCAGCTGGAATATCATCAGAAGATACTCAGTAAAATCCACTTTCTTGTTATGGTCTCGATCCAGACTTTGCAAAATCAGCTCCACGGTATCTGGATCATTTGGATTCTGTGTAAGAACAAGGTCCAAAGTGTAACTCTGTTAGTATAGGCCATACGCCAGCCTAACAACTGAAGGGAAGATGTGAAATGTAAATATTTGGCTTATTCATGTGGAACTTATTCATATAGTCTTTTAGTCTGGATTCCTGTATCCAGACCAGAAAGAGAAAAAGGCGTATATAGTGAGTAATGTGGTGAGAAATAGCTAGAAAATGATGCAATGGAAAAAGGAAAGGGAACAAGAGGGCTGATTATTTTTGGTAAATGATGGGTCAAATATGAATGATTAGCTAATTTATAAGTAATTTTATGCCCACATTAATTATATAAATTTTCTTTCTTTGTCCAATTAAATTAATTAGCTAAGTAATTAATTTACTCACTGAACAAAGATTTATTATGCTATTTGCCTAGCATTATGTTATATGTGAGTATAAATCAACAAACAAGTTTGCTTTCTGAAAAAGATGGAATTTCAAGTTGAGTTGGTCAGATATACAAACAAACTTATAATTTATTGTGGTAAGGTTTCTACCAGAGTACATCAGAGAGGAACCAATGGCGATCTTAGAAAGTTTAATGAGAGTAAATGATGCCTTTTTAAGGATGGACTCAAATTGGCCAAACAAAGGAGTAGGAAGATGAGGAGAAGGGAAAAGATTGTTCTAGGCAGAGGGAATGATATGAACAAAGGGCTGGAGGTAAAAGAAGGCTTGGAGCATTTAAGGAACTGAAAGAAATCCAGGACTGCTAGATTTAGAGTTTGAAGAATTAAGAAATGTGGATAAAGAGATAAATAGGAACAAGATTATGACTTAAAAGTCATGTTAAGGAACTTTGTACTTTAAGAGCAATTGGGAGCTGTTGAAGGATTTTTAGCTGAGTAGTGAAATGATTATATTTGCATCTAATGCTGAGATAAGAAGTAGTAGGTGGCCTGAACCAGAGGACTAAAAATCGTGATGAAGAGAAATGGCCTCTGAGAGATTATTGATCAGTTTGATGGAGGTTAAAAGGTAGTGGTATCTGCTGAGAGAGAGAAAATAAAACATGACACCAGATTTTTGCCTTGGGTAAAAAGATGAAGGAATAAGGTTTGAGGGGAAGATTATGAGATTCATAGCTGACACAGTGAATATCTGACATCTGATATCTGAATATCATAACTAAAATTTATAGAAATCCAAATAACAATATTCAGTAAGCAGTTGGATTTAAGATATTGAAACTCAAAAGTCTGATCTAAGCTTCCAAATATTAATTTCTAGAGCTGACATTTATAAGGTGGTAGCCATATTCTTTTGTGATTCAGGGGTAAATGCTAATTTCCTGAAATTGGAAATCTAGGCATTTACCTAGATCGGAAAATTGTTCTGAGGCAGACTGTGTTTGTAAGAATTGGTCACTTAGATAGAATAGTATCTAATCTATGTGTTTTGTTTGTTGTGTAGTAGGATCACTTCCCCTAGTCATGCTATGGAAACCATTATGGAACAGCTCTTGACTTTATCTTAAACCTTTACCAAATCCTGTTCTCTATCACCAAGTAGGGAGAATCCTTTAGGATGTTTGACATCTGTGACAAGAAGGTGGAAAGGGATGAAGAAGAAAAGTCCTGCGTAATTCCATCTTGGCATGGAGTTCTTACCTTCAGAATTTGATGAAACTCATTTTCCAAAAGTTCTTTCAGCTCTGCCTTGTTCAGCGTATCATACTCCCCATGCTGAGTGGCATACTGGTAGAAAACATCAATGACAGTGATGATGCCTTGCAAGAGTTTAGGCATTTTGTTTTTCAAGTTTGAGGAACCTAAAGGGAGGAAAAAGAGGGACCAACCCCTTACTACTCTTATTACTTGTTGAAACACATAAATAGATCTAATTATCTATAATAATTGTTCAGAATTAGGCACGTTTAAATTTATTGTGGTGTAATTGTGTTCCACAATTTATTGTGTGGAACGAATCCAGAGTTGAATGACCTGTTCAAGCCTTGTAGCAAGAGAGTGATGGAAGTAGGAAAGTAATCCATGGGTCTTATTTCCATTCCTGAATTAATATAGCAAAAGACAGCAAAAGCCTCAACTCCGGGATCCACAGGGAGCTCTAGAGCCTGGAGAGCCCTTCAGAGCAGCCCCACCCTGAACCCTGCATCTACCAGTCAAACGCACCAGCATTGTCATCATTCTGACATCATCTAAAAGAAATTAGGGTCTGCATTGCATTCTTAAAGAAGAAGGGACCAAAGACATGTCCAAACTCTTTTTGTTCTAGTAGAATAAAATGTTAATATGTATTTTGGACAAGCAAAAAAAAAAAAAAAAGGCTTTCTGTTTTGATTTTCCTGCCATTACCAGGGATAATATCATCTTTGTTCTGTGGCTTTAAAAGTCCTGAGTGTTCCACTTCATCTGCTTCCTCTTTCTCTCTAGGTTGCAGTAATGCTGTGGGTACAGGTCCATCTATATGACATGCCTGACTCCAACTAAGGAGGATCAATGGCTGAGCTGAATTCTCAAGACCTCTAGGTCAGATAAAGTAGACAAAGTGAGCATAGCCAACAACAAGCCTAGGCGATATGAAACTAGAGGCAACTACTATTAGATTCAGCTTCTGTTTTCATTCTTCAAGCAGGAAGTGACCCTCAGACCTTGGTTCACAATAGAAAAAGCTGAGCAGTAGAGAAGGCAACCTGCCTGTGGATAATTAGAATTCCATGATATCCATGATATTAGGGAAATGACCTCAAAGAAAGGAGATAATATACATAGTCCTAGTCATTGTTTCATTTTTCTTTTCAATAAACTTAAACTTATACCATAGTTGCCCAGAGTATACTAAAAAGAAGCCTTGTATCTAGCGCCGCTTTGCTTTAGAGCACACCCTGAACTTTCTTAATTTATAGCCCTAAGTACCCTTGAGCAGAATGGAACTCCTGCTCACTTACCTAGCTCACCAGAGGAACAAGTAGGAGACAGAAGCAGCTTGCAGGGTGCTGCTAGTTTGGCAGACTGGCCTTTTTATAGAGGGAATAATGGTCCATTTTAGGGAGGAGCTGCTCTATTTGAGATGTCCTAATTTACTCCTAAACAAGCCCATGTCCACCTCCCACATGTTTACCTTCTTTCTCATTTCCTTACATGTTCACCTAAGATTGCATTAGCAATTCCCAAATCTGAGCTACTTACTCTCAGCCCCACCTGCCAAAGTGGCACTTTCCAGAAAGGCCTCTTTTTGTATTCATCAAACTATATAGCACAATACGTTGACAACAAATTGTGTGGATTTTAACAGAAGTTTAGTGGAGTGTGTGCTGGGACATCATGGCCCAAATGCCAAAGAATCATGGAAATTGATGATTTAAAGGACTGTAAAGATTATCTAGTCAAACTCTCCCATTCTAAGCTTAATTTTCTTAAATGGTATTCCAGCCAAAGTGTCATCTGTGGTATTTTTATTACCTTTTGAAATGGATAATGGTGCCAGAGGCCGTCCTTTTATGCCTTTATTACCTCAATTTACCAGACCCCTTATTGGCCATACATCAATGTAACTTTTATTTCAAACACCATATAACCTTAGGAAGAAATGCGTACTTATTAGGATGGTACCCATGGTTCTTCATGATCTGGGCTGTGGCTTTTTCCCAGGTCCATTTTTCTCCTCCATATTTCTCTTTGTGCTCCACCAGTAATTATTAATACTTCAAACTTCCTCAATATACCATGTTATTTCATATTTTTTATTAGAATATCTTTCCTCATTTTCTGCCTAGTGAACTAATTATTCTTCAAAATCCATCTTAGGCTTCCCATAGGAAATTTTTCTTTAATTACTCAAGAAAGACTTGTAATTGTGTACCTTGTTTATATTTATTATTGTATCAATCATACTATATTGTAATCTTTAAACTTGTTTTACTATACAATTATTGTTTAATATAAAAATTAGAAAATATTGATAAGCAAATAAGATGGAATCAAAATACCTTTAAAGTTACTACCCCAAAATAACTAATAGAAGTCATTTGTTGTATATCCTTGACTTACACACTCTCTCTCTCTCTCTCTCTCTCTCTCTCTCTCTCTCTCTCTCTCTCTCTCTCTTTCTCTCATTTGTGGACTTATATCATTTCTAGACTATGAGCTCCTTGAGAATAAGGAATGGACATTATATATCTTTATGTCACTTGGAGAGCTAGTATACCGCTTGTCTCACATAAAGGTCTCCAATAAATTAAATTGAAAGAGAAGCAAGGATCAAGACTATAGCCTTCTGTATTGGTCAGCTTCTGCCTTTTCACAGTAGGACAGGGCCTGCCTTCACACTTGCCATCTTTGCCTCAGAGGACATGATTTTACCTGAATATAAATTGAATCTTAGCATTGAGAATCAGTGAGTGGCTTTCTGCTTATTTTTGAGGACCTTGCTCTGCATTTCATCCATTGTGAACATGGAACACAAATTTCATTGAAGTTGTGTGAAGTTACATGCACTTAAAACTTGTGCAATATGGTAACCAGGATTTGGGAAGGTGTGGTAGCAAGTGTTGGCAAGTGATAAATTACATGATTCCAAATTCAACTATTGTTAGGCTATGTGTTTTCTTCTAAGAATTGCCCAGCGGGCTGCAGAGTCAGTATCCATTCTATAGCCATGTTTCCTCTGGATGTCTGATTGGGCTAGGTTTTCATGCTTCATCAGAGCAATGACCTTTTTAAAGGTGTGGCTAAGACTGTGGGAGTAAAGGGGAGGTGGAATTTGCTAAGTGAAGACTGATTTCCTGCAGGAGCCAGGTGCTGTCACGAAGGGAGGAGAGGGTTGTGAGGCCTATTCCAGGTGAACGTGCTCTTTGGGCCAGTGTTCTCCTAAGATACAGGTCAGCAAACTTCTTTTGTACAGGGCCAGATAGTACTAAATATTATCTTTGCAAGACAGATAGTTTTTGTTGCAACTACTCAACTCTGCTGTTGTAGCATAAAAGCAGCATAGATGATATGTAAACAAATGGGCACGGCTGTTTCAGTATAACTTATTTATTAATACTGATCTTTGAATTTCATATAATTTCACATGTAATATATTTTTCCAACCACTTACAAATATAGAAAACCTTTTTATCCTGTAGGCTACACAAAAATGGATGACAAGACAGCTATGAACTGCAGGCTGTGGTTTAACACTCTTAGCTCCTCTTCGGTATTTCGTTTTTGGGAAGATTCTCCAGGAGAGGAGACTATGAGAGAAAAGAAGGACTGAAAAGTGTGGGACATTAGAAACACTTACTCTTTCATGAGAGCAACAGTCAAGGTGAATTTGTGAATGTCAGCATGTGTGGGGTGGTAGGGAAAGGGAACAGAACAAGGGACCTTTGGCTGCTCATAAAAGGGAGGTAAATTTTGGTTTGATGTATGGGAGAAATTTTTAATATTTGCATTGACTGAAAATGCAATGAGCTCTTTGTGAAGTAACTGAATTTATTGTCAACTATCATAGGAATCGTTTTTTACTATTAAAGAAAAAATTAATCTTTTCAGTACTTTATTTTCTGAATATACTCACCAATTAGAATTTTGTTGGGCTTTATTTCCTGGTTTGTATATTACATATGCATTTTGGTCTCTTCACTCCCTATTGAGAGTTACTTATTAAAAGTTGGACTAGATGATCACAAAAGTCACTTTCAAAACAGATTCATGATTCTTTTCAGAGTGTGTGCTCCGCAATGACAGGGTTGGACATGAAGGTTCCTCCATCATAGGTTTGGTTAGTAGTTTTTTTCCCCTTGGAGAGGATAGGTTTCAGGAGAAAAGCTTTTCTATGGTATGGGCCATGTTCTAGGTTTTTGAATGCCTTTCTCTGTGTGTTGGCAGAAGAATGGAAATTACATTTCTTTTTATGTCAAACATAGTGCTCTGTGTGCAGGTGTACATTGTTGCATGAATTCTCCCAACAACCCTGTTATGTAGGTGTTACATTTTCATTTTGCAGATGAGAAAACCCAGGCTCAGATGAAATCTATAACTTGTTTCAAGTCACTTAGCTATTAACTGGAGGAGACAAAAGTTAAATTCAAATCTGCTTTTTCCTAGAAATAGCAAGTGGGGAACTGTTCATGTCTTGGTAAAGGAGGAGTTTTGGAGACAGTTCTTGAGGAATGGAATGTTTCACTTAGGAAAAACAAACAAACAAAACTAGCAAGGATAAACAGTGAAGTGCCCGTACCATCGGTGTGCACTCATTTTTTTCTGCCTGCCTGGGAGGCAGAGTAATGTGCCTATTGCATCATCTCCTGGCTCAGATCTTTTCTTCATTGCCTTTTCTATCCTTTTTCCTCACAGAAATTATTTCATGTAATTTCTGACAGTTCTGTGTAGCCAAGTCTCTATAAATGAGAAGACTATGTAGAAAATAGGGGTATGTATGTCAGAAAGGTTGATAGTCGTGATTTTGGGTAAATGGAATCAAAAGAAGTTAGCTATAATACGAAACTGGTTGAATAGTGCTTCCTTCTTTATTCTTCTGATTTGGTATGAGTCCTTTGATTTGAGCCCTGGAGTTGAAAGCTGCAGTGAGCCATGGCCGTACCACTATCAGAATTGATCGGATATAATTTTACAGCTAAATATATATTCCCTGGGGATGAGACAGGCACGGTGACATATTTTTCACCTTCAGACCCACAGTCTGGAATATATTCTGCTTCACTACTGGTCTTCCTCTTGAGTTGTTTCTTTCTCTCTTAATCTCTCTTACTATCCTCCATTTTCTCTTCCAAGAACTCCAA